CCTTGCTCTTCTTCAGCTCCCACGTCTGAGCGTAGCACAAAGCTACTTGCGCTTGGAGGCTTTGCCACATATGTCCGATAGTACCGTTCAACCGGAATGCGGAGAGCAGTGTCATACTCCTCCGGATTACCTAGTTGCAGAAATCCTTTGAAAGTCGCTACCGTTCTAACCTTTTTGGCCCGCGGAATGTCCATCTCTGAGATAGCTTGTTCCAGCGTTCCATATGCGCCGTCACAATCTTCAACCAGTCCGCGAAGAAGAGCCTCGTTTTCGGCCTATAATTCTCTGTCAGAGAGGATCATTCCTGGTAGCACGATAAGACCTCACCTTCCGCGGATCCTTTCCCTCCTCTTTGAAGCCATACTCAGGGTCGTCAAAGTCAGTGCCTCTGGATATAGTTAGCACACTGCCTCATGCTCTCTGCCGGTATTACTGACAAAACAACCAAGTCGATGTTATCTTCCTTTATTTTTTTCGTTATCTGGTCGAGATCCTCATTGCTCATCCATCCTTGGCCATTTGTGACCAGCACAATTTTCCGTTTGTACTTCAATTTCTTGCAATATGTGACGATCATTTGGATAGCCAAAATTATGGCGGAAATAGCTTGAAAGAGTCAGAGTACTTGCCGATATCCTGAGTAACGAAAATATGAGAAAGTTGCTTACCATCTCCCTTATCAGTCTTGCTCGGCTTGATTAATGCATCCAATCTTCGGATATCTGGCATAAGAAACCTGGTACATTAGAACAGCAAATGAAGCCTGCGTAACGAAGAAACCTACTGCTGAATCTCAGAAAGCACTGATATGTGTTTAAAATGAGGATCATCGTCAAGCTCGTTGGAGGTTTCTGTCCTCCTGCGTCAGTACAACAGGGACGACACTTGATGACCTTTGGTGTCTTACCGTCTGTTTTGAGGCCAATTACACCGATTGTGGCTGTTTTGCGACCTGTGGCCACCTAGTTATCAACAATTAGCCGCAGGCTCATAGCCTCTCATGCTCAATGCTATGCTCACAGTTGCTGTGATGCGATCCCAAACATATTGCATGGCCCACTCCAGATCCGTCATTGATCGGCCATTGCGCTTCTCCCCCATAGATTTCCCTACATCCACGATATAGACAGTTGCTTCCTTTTCAGCCATGATCAAGATGCTCTAGAAGAGAAATTGAGTCTGGAGATGAGGGAAGGAAGAGCCAGATAAAGGTAGCTCATTGATGCATAGACAAACACGACGCTCCAGGCAGACGCGCGATATTTCCCAATTGGGTGTTAGGCAGAACGCGAAGGCACATGACATCATTATTGGAAGGTGCGTGGACATTGCACGTAGTAGGTGTACATACTTCAGGACCAATAAAATCCCGTTGCAACAATCATATTCCGCGGACGGGGTGCGTCGAAATATGTTCCGACATTCCCTAGCTCTCCACCTTCCAACAACCATCTGATCCCGTCCCATCGTCTTCTCTGCATCAGAATATCCCAGCTCGAGCCGTTGACAAATTATAAAGCGCATCATTAATTGTTGGACAGGCAATATGACTGATCCTCGTCCCTACCATCTTCTCAGGTACGGAATCCCTGGTTATCAGGATATGAACATGTCGCTGACTTCTGCCGCAAGCTACGGTACCCTATTGGGCGTGCAAGTGTTCCAGGTGAACCTCATTCTGCCAGCTAGATATCCACTACGCTGTTAACACAAGGCGCAACAGACATTTATTGGGGGCGTCATTGCTTTCCGAGTGCTTCCTCGCCCTCAGTTCTCAACGTTGCAGACTTCGATATTCCCCGTGTACTTCACGCTTCAGTCCGCACTCCCCGTAGTTATCGCCTTAACTTCCAGCAAAGGTGGCCAGCTCAATGGCATTTCCGGACTTCTCGCTCCTGAGAATCGATTTGGAACACTCCTGCCTCTCGCAACTGTTGCAATGTCTGGGCTGATCAATCAGGTCATCCTGCGCCCACTCACTGTCAGGACGATGAAAGAGAGGAAGCACCAGGGTATGCTTGGGCCCTGTTATCTCATCTCACTTACTGGCTGCTAAACTTTTGCAGAAACCCGTGATGGCAAGAAGAGCTACGACCCTGCTCCCCACTCAAAGGAGATGATGGCTCTGAACAAGAAATTCGGCAGACTTCATGGTCTGTCAAGTCTGATCAACATGGTCAGCCTTGTTGCTACAGTCTATTACGGTGCAGTGCTCGGCAAGCGCTTGTCTTGAAGGGCTCTCTGATTGCAACATTTCAGTTGATCGCTAACCTCAGGATTGCTTACTGGTCTATCAAACTCTTCCTTTATGTCCTTAACGCTCTGTATGTATCGTTCCAACAAGGTGATCATACATCAACCCATCTGCAAATATAAAGAAAACTCTGCAGATATCTTGTTTTCTGTTGCAGCGGATTGCATTACCTGAATTCCGCTTTGAGATTTCTTACGGTGTTGAGACACATTATCCACCAGCGTCTGGCTGAGAACGTCTCTGGCTTCGGTCGTAAAACTTGTGTCACTAGCCTGAAACCGAGAAGCAGATTAAGAACCAATTTCTGTGTTTTATTCTTGGCTCCCTGTTAAGCACGCCTGCATGCATGCTTTGAGGCAACTGAGACATGTACGCGGAATGGCCGCTTCAGATTGAATGCCATTCAACTCTTTGTCTCAGAGGTGATTGTATCCCATTGAATTCTTGAGCGTCTGGATATTTATCTTGCCCTCTTCCTCACTTCGTCATGAGAGAACCAGAAAAAGAGGGCCAGTTTTCTACCGATATTTATTCCTGCTCCCTTATCCTGCTTGTCAGACTGTCGTCAACCTGCCACTGCAAGATGTCTATCCTGTCCGCTGCAATTGTTGTGGTCACCGTCGTCAGCCCTATCTTCATATCGGCCGCCCAATCGATCTCAGAACATCTGGCTTGCGCCAATATCTATATTTCGAAGGCTTTTAGATGGATGTCTGCTTTCAAGGTTGACGGTATCTTGAAAAAGCTTGATCAGTGGCGGGAACTGCACACATCAAACGTAAAGCCATCTTCTGCTTCCACGCCAGTGCCTGAGTCCGATATTGCGTGCTTAGGGACCGATAATCTCCACCACAAGAACCACACATTTTTTGACCCGGGTTTGAGTGAGCTGGGCTCACTATGGCGCGGTCGAATCAGTCAGGATCCGGTTTCCACCTCGGGCCATCTTACCAATGGACCGACTTTCAGGAGTCTTCACAGTGAAGTTTTACTTCTCAACCGGCAAGTTTTGCTTTTCGTGATGATTTTTCTGTTGATCATACCAGCAGTAACATCAATATGCACCTGGTATTCTCGCAGGCACTGCTTTCGAGTAGCGAACATTGAGATTCTAGATTTCATCAACGAAGTTCGTGCCCGGAAAGCGTTTCTATTGAAAAGAATGAGCTCCGCTGTTTCAATACTGAACGGCCAAATCGACAGCGTGATGAAGCAGATCGCGTTGGAACATGAGCGAGTTTCAACTGAACTACCCACCTTCTTTGATGCTGAAGTCAGAGAACTACGAGATGCTTTCGAGACACAATTCCAGAACGAATTTGACCACCATATCCTGGAAGTGAAGAATTTTGCGGACAACTTGGAACGCGCACGACGAAGTTTTCCAGATCCTGAAGCCATTGAAGCCGAATGCAAGGATTTGCAGTCTGAGCTTCAACACTGGAGACAGCAAGTGGGCAACTTTCTCGCACACGCCAGTTCCGAGGCTGAAAGGAGTGATAATATACAGACCCCGGCCAAGCGTATCATGGCGCTCCCAGAGGAAGCACCGACCGCTCAGGCTACTGAGACTAAATACGAGACTATGCAAGACAAAGTGGACAAAAACGAACCTGCAAGCCTTACTGTGAGCGAAAAGCGACGATCAGAAGACGAGGAGCCAATCTCGAGAATGGCGCTGTGGGCAACGGCGTCTGGATACCCTGCACCCACACCAGCGGAAATCGAAGAAGGACGAAGAATTCGGCGTGAGAGAGTCGCAAAACGTATGACAGAGAACAATGGTCAGCGATCTGTGAGAAGCGAGTCTGGGCCCAGAAAGCGCAGATGCCCGTTCCGTAACAGGCGCCACGGCGTGCACAAGCAAGACCACGAAGCGGCTCGCCTGTCTCCCAACCCCTTCTTGCACTAGATTATCTTTTTGGGAAGAAGGTCGGGGTGCATGGAGCAAGAAATTCTGTGTCTGCATTGATTATGGTTCGTTCTGGGAGTACCTCAACCAGTCAAGCTAGGTGGCATTGTCAGTTGGACGCACCTAGGTAGATCTCCTTCAAAGGTTGAGTGCCACGGGTAAACTTCTAAAACAATATATGGTGTATCCGTAATGAGAATGTCAAAGACACGATCTAATTTGTCTCTGCCACGGGAAGTGTAGGTATTCCTTTGGCTTGAATCCGAATGTATTGGCGGTTGTTGTTGTTGCTCAGAGCTCCCCAGGACAAAGAAAGTATCCATAAAGGGCAAGTCCTTTGCGATAAAGACAACTCTTTCTTCCCCTTCTATCATTTGTACTATTTTAGGCTCAACCACAAATTGCTTTATCCCCTTGTCCATATTCCGACTGCTTTGCTAACTGCTTTGCCCCCTCGACAGCACTCCGTCTTTCGAAGTTTCATCTTCTTTCGCAACTTGATATAACCGAAGCACAACTAGCTAGACTCTGTTCACTCTCGAAGTCATCATTTCTTTGACTCAACTCGTTTGCAAACATGGCGTCCTCTCAGAGCCTCATCTGTCAAAGAACGTTTGTTCGCTGCCACGGTATATTCTCATCCACGAGCAAGACCCATCCGAGGGTATATATCCTATGTACTGCCCAGGGACTAAGAGGTCTTGAACCGGTTTCCCTCTTTGATTTTCCTCGCTCCTATCCTCTTCTTGACATTGCAAGTATTACCTCGGACTCAAAAGAAATCTCGAATATCACATTGCCTACTCAAACCAAACTCCTTCCTCCTGGCTGAGGATGGAGGCCACGATATTCGTGCTCAGTTCTCTAGCCACCAATCTCGCTGGAATCTACTGGCATGTCCCCTTCACCGTCGTTGATCCTCATCACACGTTCCTTGAGCGACTTGTTGGCTCTGTTCAGGTGTCCAGCACCATCTACACTCTCAGGTATTGGCATCCTCTCGTGTTTCCCGAGTTTCCCGAAGCTGCAAAATGTGAAAGCACATGCGAAGGCCCATGTGAGAGCCCAGCACAGAATACTTCAATTGAGCTTGGTGGCGTGCTGAAGAATGTTATGGATCAGTATGTTCAGAAATCAAACTTGGCGACCCCTTGTCCCATAAATATTGGCAATTCTTGCAGTGATCAACCGCCTCCACTTACCACGATCCATCACACGCTCTTCGGAAGAATTTTTGACATCCCTCTCGATCAGAATTCTGCCGATTTATACTGGACTGTCTTCTTCACGGCCCTTGTACTGATTGCTATCATTCTCGTGTTGTGGAAGGGAATCACCCAGGGCAGCCGCAAGCATGACACGGATGCTACATCGGGTCAGAAATCAGACAAGTCAGCAGACCTTCCAAGCGAGAAAGAGGCCCTGAATTGGATTCGTATCGCTCGCTTTGCTGTCGCTTTGGGTATCAAAGACGATATTTCGCATGACAGCGTCAACATTAGAGCAAAGATCACGGAGATTCTAGAAAATCTGCACCATTTCCAAAGAGTTCTCCAGTCCGATTCCATGCTCGCCGAGTCCAAGGAAGGAGATGATGTGGAAACAAACAGAACGACACTCGCACAAGTCTTTGATGGTCACCTTCGGTTTTGCACCGAAGCAGTGAAAAGTGCCCTGGAGGTGCTCAATCAACTCAGTAGACGGGTGGACCACAGAATCAACCTACACGAACAGCCGGTAGACGGCTATGGCCACGGCCAAGGAGATCAGAAGCTTGAAGATCCAACTGATGAGTTTAGTCTGTATCAGCAAGAGTTTCTCACCAAGGACAAGCTGGAGGCGACAACATCGGCCATGGAAAAGCGCATTCTCAGAACAGTGGACGATCATATTGCAGCCCTTGACGAGGAAGCGAAGAAGCGAATTGGTAACATTGAGTCTGCACTTGCAAATATCTCAGCCCTTCACGAGGAAGCGAAAAGGCAGATTGATAATATCGAGTCCGCACTTGCAAAGGTTCAACAATCCCTCTCTGTTGGTGTCGTCGATCAGGAACAGCTGAACGAGACTATCGGCGGTCTCAAAGCAGACATGGAGAATCTCCGAACGTCATTGCAATCACTTTCTCGCGAAGGTAATGACTCGCAAGTTGGTGTCGATACCATCATTCACGAGCAACTGCAAAGCCTTGAAAATCGTGTGCGGTCCCTCGAGCGTGCGGCTTCAGTGACTCCCCTCGACAAGGAGCAGATTGAACAAGAACTTGACGAACTCGACCAAGCCGTAATCAGTCTGAAGAATTCGCATGCGGAAATTCAGTCGAAGCTCGACTCAACCGTCACCGAAACACAAGTGAAAGAAGCTTTGAAACAAATAGCCGCGCACCTCGAGCAACAAACTGAAGGAATGAAAAGCCAACTCCACGGGCTCATGGAAGCTTTGGATGAAGTCAAGAACGCTGCGATCAAGTCGAAGAACAATGACCCTCAACTTGCCAAACAATTGGAAGATATAGAAAGGGCGATCGATGATTCAGCAAAGGAGGTACAATGGTTCAGAAAAGATCTTGACACACACGCTCTGGAACAAAAAAGTCTGCGCGAGGCAGTCAACCGTGCCTTGGAGTGGAATAAGGAGCTTGAGGACGGAATTAAGCAGAAGATCAGCAGAGTAACCAGGAATATCTTGGAAACGAATGCCCGGATGCATATATCGACCGAAACCAAGGATAAGCTCGAAGAATACAAGTGGCATCAAAGGAACATGAACATGAGTATTTGGGGACACCTACATAAATGCATGGACGCTCTTGGCATCAAATTCGACTTGAGCGCCGCTGATCTAGTAACTGTACACGATAGGAACCAGGACCCTGTCGAAAAGCCTGAGTCGAATGATGAGCATCTTGCTGCAGAGCATGGCGCACACAAGACCGAGACTGACGTTGTCGATGAAGGGCCCCAACAGGACGAAGCTCAAGCCGCAGGATTTGAGGCCCGATCGCCAAAGGAGACAGCCCAACCTACAAAGGATGAAGCCGGAAGCCCAAAGAGCGAAGCTCAAATAAACGAACAAATACAGACATTCGACGATCAACACCGCGCGAGTGGCCAGTCTGAGCCGATCAGTCCTAGGACTTCAAAACCAGCTTCCCAAGCAATTAGTGGTCCAAAGCAATCACCCGTAGCAGGCTGGGGTGATGAAGCTGCAAAGCACGACAAAGCAGACACAGCAGGATCGCGAGCAGAACATAATCAAGAGGGTGAAAAGGGCCACGAATCTGCTGCATTGGGAACCCACAAAGAGACTATAGCGCAATCGAAGGCATCAGTAGGAACCCAGTCTCCTCAGACACCGGGGTCTGCGAAGGGCAAATCATCTGGGAAGCACGCCCCAGAACCCCTCCGTCTGAAGACCGAGACATCTACCTCCGCAAGGCACGAGAAGGGCCAGGCTCCGGCTCAGTCGCCTTCAAAGCCCAACATTGAGTCTACCTCTGCTGAACTGAGCAAGAGTAGGTGGGCTCCCTCAACTTCGACCCAGGCTCAGTCCAAAACACCTACTCATGGAGAGACTGAAGGGGGCCAGTTGATTACGCCAATTCTAACCCAGCCGCCTTCGAAGCCAAACACTGAGTCTGCCTCCGCCGGAATGAGCAAGAGTAAGTGGGCTCCCTCAACTGCGACCCAAGCGCAACCAAAGACATCAGAAGGAACCCATTCGCCTCAGACACCGGGGTCTGCGAAGGGCAAATCATCTAAGAAGCACACCCCAAGAACACCCGGTTTGAACCCGGAGGCATCTACCTTCTCCGCAAAGCGCGAGAATAGCAAAGGAGCTGGCGCGGCTTCAGCTCAGTCGCCTTCAAAGTCAAGCACGGAGTCTGCCTCTGCCGAAATGAGCAAGAGTAGGTGGGCCTCAACTCCGACCCAGACTCAATCCAAAACACCTACTCATGGAGGGAATAAAGGGGATCAGCCAGCTAGCCCAGCTTCAGCCCAAGTTCCATCAAAGCCACCCACTTCTGCTGAACTGAGCAAAAGCAGGTGGGCCGATGACTCTCCAACCGCGCAGAGATCAAAGAGTGTTTCCTTGCCCTCCGAAAAGAACCCGAAAGGAGACCTTGGTGAGACCTTTTGAACTCAACGGCATAGTTCAGAATTAATGCTCTTCCAGTAGATTTCTTTGATTTAGTTCTATCGTTTTTGCGGATTGCTTGTGGCTCTTTGTGCCACCTGAATTACTTGTCTTTTGTCTGATATAGTTTGGAGAATCCTGGAGTTGGTGCTCACGTGAGTTGTTTTGTTAGTTTCTGCCATCTGAGATTGAGTTTTGGTTGTTTGGGACAAGTCATATCGGTTCACGCAGTTGCAAATGTGGGATCTTTCATGTTGATTCAGCTCTGGCGAAAGCAAACTCTAATCGATCAAGGGTATCATAATTGTAAAGTCAAAAAGGCCACTGCAAGCCTCAACGCCAAATCAACGAACCGAAGTCCTCAACAACAAATTCACACAGTGGCCTGCTCAATCAGGTATTTTCGACAGGCAGCCTTCAGCATATCGATACGTCTCTGGGTATGAATGAAGACCTCGCGGTACATGTCCAGACTCTCCTGAACAACTTCCTGGCGCGATTTGGAGCCTGCACAGATCTCACGCATACGGAGCTCCATCTCCTTACGCAGAAATGGTTTGCTGAGAGACGGTTTATCCGGTAGATTGGCGACCACGTTGTCATAGCCTTCCACCAAGGCAATACCTAGGCGAGTTGGGATGAATTCCTTCACAGCGTTGCGACCACTTCCTCGCGAATGAACGGCGACATACTCGCGTTCCTTGATTTTGGCAATGTGTTCGGCCATGGTGGCGTCCGTCCCTATTCCGTTCGCGTCCATGAGCCCGATGAGTTCTGGTTCGGTCAAGTAGTTGGGGGCCGTTGTCTTGCCCTCGAACATGTTGGCTTCAGTCGGCACGAAAACTTCACCCACTCGGAAGTTGGGCAGTTGTTGGCTACTCTCCCACTTGTCGTATACGTAAACTTCAAGGTAGTTCTTCTCTAGAACGACCAGTCCATTGGCGTGAAACTTCTCGTCGCCATATTGGATCTCAATCTCGGTGCTTTGACCCTTTGCGTCATCGGAGCAGCATGCGAGGAATCGCCTGACTACAAACTCGTAGACTTTCTTCTCGTCAGAGTTCAGTGCACTTGGTGAGACCCAACATACTGGGTGGATAGGTGGATGCGCGCGGTCATTGTGGCGCCCGGAACGAGGAGTTTTGAACGCGCCATTGATGAGACTTCATAGTTGAGAGAGTCAGTAATGTCAGAGAATGTCTGATTTAAAGAACTCTTACCCTCGGGCGTATTCACCCCAGTTAGTATCAGGGTATTGCTTCTCAATTAACTTCTTCAAATCGATCCCTTTGTCAAATTGATCCGTCTCAGTACGAGGATAGCTGATGTAACCCTTGGTATAGAGAGATTCTGCAGCCTAATCTTGAATAAGCTTGCTGGTGAGAGCTTAAGCACGTCGTACAGCAACATACCTTCATGACCGCCGAACTGTCCATGCGAAGGTACCTGCTGCCCATCATCTGTAAGTCCACCGTCGTTAACGGCAGAGGTCTCCATTTGCTGGTGGGTTTTTGGTTGACTTTTGTCACTTTAGCCGTCTTTGCTAGCAGACACCTTTCCAGCATGACGGTCACGGCCGCCCTGTCGAAAAGATGGACTCTCCTCCACAAGAAGTTGACCTTTTTCCTTTCCTGGACATGCACCACCTTGATTCCCCAGAAAGTTTCCGGCTTGAAATTCTTCACTCGTAGATATCGATCAACAACAAAGCCCAGGGTGGGGAATTGACATGATCCTGTTGATTGAGTCAGCTTAGATTGATACTGGCATCAAACAAGCTCAAAGGTAGGCCAACTACGTACCGTAACTGATGAGTTTATTTGCCAGATCAGCACACATACGTTGCAGTTGAAGACTCTGCAGTCGCGTGAATGCAGCACCAATTCGAAGGTCGAGTTCGATTCTGGCAGCAACTGCATTTGCTTGGTTCTCATCCACGTCTATGAGGGCCCGAGCAGCCCGTAGAACATGCCTGTTATCGGGTGAGCATTGCTGATGAAAAAGAGCTTCATCCATATACACTCACGCCCTCTCTGTGTTGCTGAATCGAGCTCTTTTGACCAGGATACGCTGGTTCCCTTCTTTGGCTTTTTTGCGGACTTCGGTACCGATGTGCTCTCCCTCTCGATCACAGTCGGTCCAGATAAATAGAGCCCTCGACATTCTGGCCTGCTCCTTAATGTTTTCGGCGATTGGCTTCTTGTCCTATACCCAGAGTTAGCCTTGCTGCGTGCTTCAAGAGATACCCATGACCAGGCCCGTGACGACCGAAAAGAAGTTGATATTGCGTACTTCTTCCACAAATTCGCGCACAGGAGCTTCAAAGAGTGCGCCAGGTGGGCATGAGAGCCAGCTTTTGTATTGGCTCTCAAAGTCGAGGGCCATCAAATGTCCCAGGACGCTGGTCATTGTGACTGAGCAGGTGCCCCAGGGGTCACCGAAATTGAACTCAAATAAATAGTTCTTCACATATTTATTACCATGTATAGATATCTATGTCTATCTCAGTATATGTGACTTCAATAGCCCGTGCCGGCTCAAGCCAACGGTCACTCACAGTTTGCATGGAACCCCCGGAAAGATGCTGAGCCACAGCTTTAGCGATGGCAGGTTTCTCTGCCACGCAGAGAATCCTTGGAACAGGCATAGCAAATGGCCTGTCAATTCAAGAAGCCTCGTTTATGCCATACTCGATCCGCCCTTGTTGACACTTTTGTCATGAATTCAACATCATTGCTTCTTCGAGTAGAGGAACAATCGAGACGCGCAAAAGACGCGATCAACTTCCAGAAACGGAGATAGTAGATTTCTGCCTGTATGCCTGAGAGCCTTGACGCCTGAGGCAGCCAATGTCATCACCCCCAGTGTTCTTCGCCAAAAGCGGTAAGCGTGCTGTCCAATGAGAGCGCTCGTCCGCGTTGTCATGATGGCATCCATCTCTTTGTTTTGCCTCGATGTTTTGATTCTCCTCGATCGACAAGAAAAACATACAGAATCACCGTCGGGTGTCCAATAACTTCAAACTGCGACACCTGCTCTGAAGTCGTTCGAAATGGCGATCCCACTTTCTCAAGTTCACTCTGTTGTGGACTGTGCCTCTTTCAACCGCACCGTGCTGCCCTTCCTGTCACAGTTGACAACGCTTCCTGCGCAGCTGCAAGTGGCCGCCGCAACGAAAGATGTGGACGCTCTGAAGGATATTTATCTTTCGACAAACCCTTTTATCTCGGCGCTCGGGTTCACTTTGGTTTTGTGGGTGCTCTTCGTCGTGGCAGCGGAATTCAACCGCAACTATTCGCAGGTTGATCGGTTTTGGAGTATCCTGCCGTCTGTGTATAATGTGCACTTTGTCGCTTGGGCGCGCATGTGGGGCATTAAGAATCAGAGCTTGGATACCATCGCACTCATCACTTTGCTCTGGAGTGTAAGTATATTAACACGAGGACTTTGTATCTGCCGCCGACTCTAACTCCGCTTAGATCCGATTGACGTTCAACTACTGGCGCAAGGGAGGTTATCAGATCGGTTCTGAGGACTACCGCTGGGAGATCGTGAAGTCTCGGCTTAACAACCGGTTCCTCCTCTTCCTGCTCAACGTCACCTTTGTCAGCTTCATTCAGCCGATGCTGCTTCTCCTCGTGACGGCGCCTACCTACAACTTCATTCTCCTCTCGCGCCTCCCTGGAGTTGAACCGTTCGGTCTCCCCGACCTTATCTTCTCGCGCCTTGCATTCTTCTTCCTCATCATCGAATACTTCGCCGACCAGCAGCAATGGAACTTCCAAAGCGCAAAGAAGGAGTACCAGAAGACAGCTCGCATCCCCGACCAGTACAAGGGCCAATTCACTCCCGAGGACCTGGAGCGCGGCTTCGTCGTTAGCGGCCTCTGGTCACTGTCCCGTCACCCGAATTTTGTCGCCGAGCAAGCCATCTGGCTCACTCTGTACCTGTGGAACTGCTACCGCACCGACAGCTACATCCAGTGGACTGGACTGGGCGTTTTGGGCTACATGCTCATTTTCCAGTCAAGCACCCGGCTCACCGAGTCGATCAGTGCAGGCAAGTACCCTGAGTACAGCGAGTATCAGGCGCGTGTGGGACGCTTCATTCCTCGCTTTTCTGTCAAGCCCAAATACAATGGCAGCAAGAAGAAGACCCCTCGGTCCAAGACTGAGTCGGCAGGCACTGCGACGCAGGAGGGCAAGAAAAGTCAGTGATGGGAGAGGATTGGGGTCTCCGATGCAGGATTTCTGTCGATTAATTCTTGTTACTTTTAATCTCTGGGGTACTGGGGGACTGAAATTTCTTAATATATATATTGTTAGTTTTGAGTGAAATTTGATATCTGTTTCTGGTTGGAGTATTTGGTCCGCTATATCAAGCTACCAGGGGAACACAAGGCTGCTACACCCAGACTTCAAAAGAATGAGAAACTCAAGTCACATAGCGTTCTAATTGTGTCAAATGATATTCCACCACCCAGGACTAGATGGTTACAAAATATACAGGAGTACACTTAGATAAGTCAAAAATCTGAAGTTGAAACGCGAGCGAGATGAGTGAAGAGGAAGGGAAATGCAGAGATACCACAAAAATCCTAATATTTATGATACAAGTGAAACCAATGGGGAGAATAAGATGTGAATACAGCGGAGAGGCTTCAGTCGTTCAATAAATACAAATCCTGACATAAAGAAACATGTAACACCCTCCTCGCCTGACCATGGATACCCGTTGTTTCTATAGTTCATCGTCTACGAGGGCGGTTTAGCACCATCCTCGGAACCTCCTTCAATCGGCGGCGTAGGCTCCGGAGGAGCAATGGTCTGTCCATGGGCGGCACCAAAGTACTTGGCGAACTCGCCAGAGTCGGGATAGGGTCTGGGACCGAGGAGTCTAATCATGTCATCACGGCTGAGGACTTCCTTGGCCAGGAGCTCTTCGGCGACAATGCCAACTTCCTTCTTTTTCTCAGTGAGTAGAGCGCGGCATTGGTTGTATGCCTCATTGACGATGCGGCGGACTTCACTGTCGATCTCCCGAGCGGTGTCCTCGGAGAAGGGCTTGTGAAGCTGCTGTTGAGGGTCCTCCTCGTAGTAGATGTATTTGAGCTTGGGCGACATGCCGAACTTGGTTACCATGGCCGTTGCCATGCGGGTAACTTTGTTGAAATCATCGCTGGCGCCGCTGGTAACCGTGTCGAAGTGCAGCTCTTCGCTGACACGGCCTCCCAGAGTCATAGCCATGCGATCCATCAGCTGGTTTACGTTCATCAGGTATGTGTCACCACCCGCTGGCAGATACTGTGCGTAACCCAGAGCTCCTTGACCCCGAGGAATAATCGAGACTTTGAGCAGGGGATCGGCCCAACGGAAATACCAGCCACAGATGGCGTGTCCAGCCTCGTGGTAAGCAACCGTCCGCTTTTCTTCAGGAGAGAGCACAAGTGATTTCTTTTCCAAACCGCCGACGACACGCTCGATAGCCTGCTCGAAGTGCTTCATGGTGATGGACTCGGCGTTCTCACGAGCCGCTAATGAGAAAAATTAGCATTGCTGGACACCCACAGACCAAAGTTTTGAAACTTACCAACCAAAGCTGCCTCATTGACACAGTTAGCAATGTCAGCACCAGCGAAGCCAGGTGTCAAAGCAGCCAGTCTGCCTTCAAGATAATCCATATCCTCCTTGGTCACAATCTTCTTCAGATGGACGCGGAAGATCTGTTTCCGGCCTTCCATCGTTGGTCTGTCGATAGCAATGTGCCTATCAAAGCGCCCAGGCCGCATCAAAGCCTTGTCGAGGACATCGGGTCTGTTGGTACCAGCGAGAACGACAACTTGTTCCGTAGTGTTGAAACCATCCATCTCCGTCAGGATTTGGTTCAGGGTGCTCTCCCGCTCATCATTACCTCCACCGAAGCTCTGCTTGGCTCTAGATTTACCGATAGCATCGATTTCGTCGATGAAGATGATGCAAGGGGCATTCTTCCGGGCGTTGGCGAAAAGATCACGGACACGGGAAGGGCCGACACCAACGAACATCTCGACGAACTCGGAACCGCTGACGCTGAAGAAAGGTACGCCGGATTCACCAGCAGTGGCCTTTGCGAGCAACGTCTTACCCGTACCCGGAGGACCTGACAGGATGGCACCGCGAGGGATCTTGGCACCGAGTTTCTGGAACTTTTCAGGAGTCTTGAGGAAGCTGACGAACTCCATGATTTCGACTTTTGCTTCGTCCATACCCGCAACGTCGGAGAACTTGATCTTGATATCGGTTTCGTGATTGAAGCGCTTGGCCCGGCTCCTTCCCATACCGAAGATCCCGCTCTGACCACCTGCACCGCCGGCGGCACGTCTCGACAGCCAGAAGAAAGAACCTATCAGGAAAAGTGTAGGAGCGAAGGACAAAATTGTGGTAAGCCATGGTACCTCGTCAACGTAGGCGACGGGAATCCGCTCGGAGCTTGGAATCCCAAGCTCATGCTGAGCTTCATCTAACCTGCGCTCAAAGCTATCCACGGAACCAATACTAAAGTAATAGTGGAAATTCGGCTGTAGCGCCGGCGAGTCAGGGTATACCCGAGCCAACGCGTCGCGGTGCAAGTCCACCTTGACTACGGCATGATTGATAACGGTCAGTTTTTCCACAAGACCCTTGTCGAAGAAGTTCGCTCTAAACTCTTGCCATGTGATCTCCTTGCTGTTTTCCCCAGGAAAGAAGCTGCGGTATACATAGTAGGTGATGAGCGAGGTGATCAAAAACGAGGCGGGGTCGAACTTGATCTCGAAAGTCCGGAAATTCGGAGGTGTTTGCTTGTTCGCCTGATCTCGACCCTTCTTTTGCTCTCGCTGCTGCTCCTGCTGCTGTTGTTGCTTTTGCTGCTCGCCCTGTGCACCGCCCTCTGACTTGGCTTTCTCCTTATTCCGTTCCTCCTCAATCTGGTTCAGTTTGTAGGCGTAGTCGGTCATGTGCTGCGACATGTATCGTGTTAACTTGACATAATCCATCAGAGATGCCGGCCTTCCGGACTGAACGTGCTTCTCGATGAACTGCCGCATCTCCGCCGGTAACCCCTCCCTTAGCAACAGTGTCCGGATATCATCCAGCATCTGATGTTGCGATGGCGGCACCTTGTTCTTCAGGTGGTCGACGAATAGATTGACTTGTTCCTGCTCCTCCTTGCTAAGAGGAGACTCGGGATCGTTCGGCGTCTTCCCATCTCCAGGTTTCCCGCCGTCCTTCCCCGGTCCCGTCGCTGCTTTGTTCTGGCCGCGTTTGTCGTTCGGGGGCTTCGGACCCCCGGGGGTTCCAGTAGCATAGGTCCTAGCACGGTGGGCCGTGATCAACGATGATAATCTCGACTGCGAAACACGCGCAGACAGCGGACGTGTGCGATTGATGCATTCTGCGGCTCTCCTCGAATATCGAGCAAGATTGCCTGGCCGTCTGAGTAAGGTGGCCATGGACGAGGTAGATGAGCCCGAAGGCGAGGTCAAAGAATTAAATTAGGCTCACTTCAGTTAGAAAGAAAGTCCGCGGAAGCCATAGAGGCTCTAGATGAGACAAGGAAGAGGTAGGAGATGTTTGTTCGGGCCTGAGAGGAGCTCTTGCGGATGCAGTTCGCCGCCAGCCATTGACACCTTCCGTCGGCCTGGGATTTTTCGCAGTTCCGCTGGTTTGCTGACTCATCGATCGCAACCAGAAAGGTCGCATCGGAATCTCAACGGACATGATTTTACAGTATGATTTAGGTATGGTTGTTCGAAATAGATCCATTACGCGTTATCTTTGACCTTTCGGGTCATTTAAAACAGACACATTCATCTGTTCAAGGCATATTGTTAGACGTCGTTTATATGAGTATGTATCTGTTTCATATTGAAGTCAACCCTTCCTTTCCGCCTTGACCAGAGGCATTCTACTATTTTGTACAAATCGTGATAAACATTGTCCAATGGATAAGATGAGCAAGTGGAGTGTTGTCGAGTTTCTTCACAAGCCATAAACGCCTTTTATGCCCGAGAATGTAAAAGAAAAGAAAATAAATGCACCGCAGCGAGCGAGTAGAGAAAGCCCGGCTTGACTCCGTTAACTCCGATGCTCTCCTGAGCCCAAATAAGCCTCCCACGCTGGTGTCCGATTCGTTATTCGGTTTTAATCAATATTAGGCTGTCATCACAATCCACCGTGGGGTGGACCGTTGCTGTCGAAGACCGGGAAATTTGTTGACATGTCTGCCCAGTCCCATTCGATGGTCATCGGCATCTGCCACAAATCTTGAGGGACGAAGGGCTGCTGAAAGGATGACAAAGGGGTACTTGCGGTAGCCGAATATGGTGGTTGATCGGCAAAACTGACACCTTCCAGCGGATCGGGACTCAACATGTCCTGGTAATCCTGTCCAATACCGGGCATAGCCTGTATGTTGGGAGGGATATTGGTTGAGATACCAGTCGTCCCGGGGATTTCACGATTGGAGGCAAAACCTCCTGCATCGTCGGCCATAGTATTACAGCCGGGATCACCTGGATTTTCAGCGAACAATGGCGACGACATTGGGACATTTCTTGACGGCGCCTGAGTGGGCTGCGTCGTCGAGGGTGAGGGTGCGGGATGCTCTTCGGGGGTACTTTGCTGTAGGTTGACCGGTTCCTCGGGTGATTTGCGCTTCTTTTTCGAATATGACTCCTTCTCAGCTTTATCAAGGACCACCTTCGCAATCCTCTCGAATTCCCCGCATAGACCAAGCATCCGCTTGATGCTGCCGTTCGACTCATCCGAGACCAAGGTCGACAGGAAATTGACGACTACATTCATCAACTTGACATCTGACCGCGCGCGAGCATCACTGGGATTCTGGAGAATATTGGCAAAGAGTGTGACAAGAGCCGACACGGGATAGTATAGTATCAACCTGAGTATTGTTAGCTTAGAAGCAATATCTTTTTTCCAGAGACAATGCACTCACCAGACACATGCGAAATCACCCTGCGGAATGTATTTAATGAGGTTAATAGACGCCCTGGCAGCAGTCACACAGAGTACCGCCGATAAGAAGACCCTAGGATTCAAGGGCCTGGCATTCAGGCCCTGGATGGCGTAATTGGACAGACGACTTGTCCAATAACCGTGATGCACAGACATACGGTGAATGGTCGTTAAACAGTTATAGTAGGCGAAATGTAGGACAACCACATGGAGAATGAGAGGTG